CCCTTCCCCTCCTCCCCACTTTGGTCCATCATCCGTGTTGAAGACAGAGGCAAAGAAAGGGTTAAACACCTCTGCCTTGTCCATACCCCTGTTTTGGAGGTGACCATCCCCATCCTGGCACAGGCAATGGTATTTCTATACTGCATATTGCCACCCAAATTAGACCAGTGAGAATTCATCTAAAAACTCACCGAACCAGAACTGCACTCTAAGGAGAACTTAAAATATCAAGTACACAAGGTCAGAGTAAAGATATCCTTCAGTATCACTCACAATAAAATTAGAAATCCAAGTCTTGAGTGGGTTTCAAATAAATAATAATTTTGAGAAAGTGCTTCCATATAAAGGGAGCTCTCAAGGCAGCAGAGCAGTTTGCAATTCCTCCTGCTAACACATCCCCACCAAGAGAATGTACAGTGGGCACTGCCCACTGGGGAAACAATCACAACACAGGGTACACGTGCCAGCTTCCATGAAACCCCTGAACAGCAAATGGGGGAGAAGCAAATGAAGGCATGTGCTGCCTTCTAAAGCACCACCCTTTTTCCAAAGCCTTTTTACCAACATAACACAAATGGGAATGAAAGTCATGTCTGCTTCTAAAATCCACTCTCAGCTCCCAAGACTGACACAGCACTGCTCTGACAAAGAGAATGTTCCTCAAACTGACACTGCAGCACAGTGTATCATCCATCCCCTCCCAGCTGCTCTCTGATCCCACTTGAACCTTTAAATTCCTCTCCAGTAACTGCAGGGGTAACCCAGAAAGCTTAAAGACAGCTAAAGGTTGTTGTTTCTTGTAGATCCTGGCCCAGTGTGCTGAGAAGAACCAAGATGAAACACAGCAAGGATTTTTAGAAGCTGGAATCTTGCTCTGAGAAGGATTTCACAGATCCCACTCTGAGGAATGCTACATTTAGGTTAAAAGTGAGAGAACAGGTATTATGGGATTAGCCAAGGGAGAGGAGGTACCAGGCTCCGAGAGGCCTGCCTGGGTTTGGTATGTTCTGTTCTAATGAAAGATAACAAAAAGGTCAGCTTAGTAGTCATAAATTAGATAGGAGGGACATCTGGGGGGGGGAAGAAGAGCTGAGTCAAGGGGTTTTTAGCAAGACCTTAGCACATAGTCAGGAAGAGCTGAAAAGTTCATTGGCAATGAGGAAAAGAAAAATGACCCTCATGAGGCTGAAGAGTTGGAAGGACCCCCAGGAACCTCCCCAAAAGGAGATGACTCCGCCTCAAGCTCCACCTGAACCCTGCCTAATATGAATATTATCACTAGATGTTGTAATTTTAATGAATATTCACGTGAAATATTGTAATCCCTCACCAAGACTGTAAGAATTGCCTGCCTTTTCACTGAAAACTTTAGAGCTATTTTGTCCCATGAACTGGTAGCTCTCCAACGTTGCATAAAATAAATACCTTTGCTGCTTAAAGACCAAATTTTGTCTCTGAGCAGTTATTTCCTGCTGGTTTTGGCAACAAAGACATGACAGACCTCAAGGTGCAGAGTTACCAGCAAAACATATGGTGTCCTCTGACACTCAAATAAAACCTTCCAAAAGTCAAAATTCTTCCTCAAAGTGTAGATTTGCCTTTCTTAAACAATTCCAATTATTCTGCTGTAAAAATACACCTGATGTGAAATTTCTCACATCAAAGATTTCACAATTCAGAGAGAACGAGAAAAAAATCAACAATAAATTTGCCATAAAACTACTTGCCAGAGAGTTACTGTAAAACTGTTTTTGTTCAGTAATATTAAAAAGTATTCAATATTCAAAATCTTTTCTCTCTGCAGATAGGGTAGGGCAGTCTTCCACTCTCTGTCCTTTAGTTCAACATGCAATAGCTCTGTGCTAAGCACTGCACTACTCACCAGGTAAGTTGTTTCTTCTCCATTTCTAGCATACCTGAAAAAGGTTCTGTCTCTTGCTGCTAGGAGTTAATACAAAAATTTACTATGTAATACTGCTGTGTACCTACTGAATAAATATTACAGGAGTTAAAGGAGTTTTTCTACTGCTAGCTGGGCTTTGGCAAAACAGGAGCTGGGCCAACATACACTAGAGACTTCACACATTTGAGTAGGGGACACTGCAATGTTTAACAGATATAGAATAAAATAAATCTGAGATTACTAAAACTCTCAGCACACAGGGTTCCCAGGCTGTTCTGAACACAGGAGCAAGGTAATCAGTTTTCAAGGAAGGCCACATAGTCAGTCAATCTGGCCAACTGCTGTTCATTGGGAATTGGTGGGACCGCGGCAGGTTCTAAAAAGAGAAAACAAATGCATCATTCATGAAATTTAGGAAGCAAATCCATCAGCAATACCATCCATCACAACAGTAAGGAAAAAATTAAATGCATCAGACTGCTGAACAGCTTCCTGGGGGCACACCTTAACTGTATCTTCTACCTGCACAGCTCTAGCTGACAGGAGTTTGCTGTCATCTGTAACATTCAGTAGTCCAAGAGCTACCAACAGCAAAAACTGCTGCAACAAGTCCCATCTGTCAGCAGCCTCCAGAATTTTTTTGCACATAATGGAGTGTGAATAATGAAGCCTGACAGTACTTTCACCTGACAGAAATGCTCCTGGTGCTCTTTGGTGGCTCCTTTCCTTACAAGCTGCCATTCTAAAGACACCAAACAAATCTACTGGGGGATCTGACAAACAAAACACACAGGACTGCACGGGCTGCAGGAGAATGAGGGCACATGCAGATCCTTAGATAAGTGCCAGCTAACCTGAGATCTTGGGTTAACAACAGGTTGGAAGGCAGGTGACTAAAGCCAGGAACAAAAATTAGGAATTAAAAAGCAGATATAAACAACAGTAGCAGGAAAATTTGCATTTACTCTTCCTGAAGAGTCATCAGGCCAGCATTCAGAACACAGTGAAAGCACCCACACTGCTTAGGGCTGCAATTGCATGTCAGAGGAGGCTGACAGTCCAATGAACGTTTTCAAAAAGCAAGCTCCTGGAATTAAATCTCTATACTTAAGACATTTTGGCAACTGCTAGACACAGGAAGCCAACTATTCAGACCTGCTGTCACTGTCTTGGGAACAAGAGAAAACAGCTTTTTGAGAATCCAACATAATGTCTTCCATCTCAATCTATAGTTGAGCTCTGAGGAAAACCAGGAAATGGCTGTTTCTGCAGGGGAGAAGGACTTCAGAAGTCCCACGTTATGCAAGAGCAACGAAACCTGCCCAGAGCTGCTTGGTGAAGCAGCAGTTTTAGCCAAAATTGTTTTACAGAGGCTGTTCTACCCCTGCCTTGGAATCTGCTCCCTCCTTCAGCTATGGAAGTGGGAATCTCAGCAATCTCAGGTGTTTCTTACAACGTGAGGGAAAGAAGACAGAGGGATAAATGATCCTGTTTACCCAACACCTGATTGGGGTGATTTGTTTGGGTTTTTTGAGAGGGCAGTGACAACATTCACTTCTCTAGAACTTAATTCCCACTCTGTGGTGCTGGTGACAATCCTTAAATCCATCTAAATGCACATTTACTATATATAAACAAAAATACCTGATGAAGGAATAAATCTCTTCAAGGAGGCTTCCAGCACACCTGAAGAAAAACACATGAAAGTTAGTCCAGTGGAACAATTTTAAACAGTTCTATACAGCAAGTCAAAACTGGGTTCAAAGGTAATGAAAATCAAACCTGTTTGTTTATCACACTTTATTACATAGATAAAAAGCAGAATACCCAAGCCTTAGCTGCTTCAAAACAGATTACAGTCTCCCACCTCCTTCTTTTTGCCTCAGTTGTAGTTCCTGCACTCAGTTTTGGAAAAAAAAAAATAAAAATCCCCCCCATATAAGTAGTTCCCAGTACTTGTAAGCTCTGCCTAGTTTGCAACCAGTTCATAGAAAACCCCACCTGATCACAGACAAAAGCTCAGGGCTCTGGTTGGATTTGTGCTCTGAGGAATAACTTTCAACACCTTGCCTGGCACATCTTTATTATGCTGTTCTGAGCTCTGAACACCTAAAAACTGCCCCCACAAACAGTGTATTTTCTTAGCCTAATAGATCTGGCCCTTTTAGATATGCTGGGATTTGGCTCCTTCTTCCAGAGCTGCACAGAGCAGTTTAAGACCAGTCATTCCATACTGCTTTCATAGCTTAATATTTATTTCTGCAGATCAAGCTTTGCACAAGCAGAAATTCTGTCATCAACAGAATTACAGTGAAGAAAAGATCCAGCAGAATAAATTTTAAAAGCAAAGGAAATTACACCAACAGCTAGAGCTCCTCAGAAGACAAGGATTCACTCAATCCCTGCCCAAAGAAGTTCTAATTCTCCTGAAAGAATTCTCAGGTTCAAAATAGTGTATTTTTTACTCATCTTTCTTAGATTAAGACATGTCATTGCAGGTCACCCAGAGCCAGCAGCAGAGGAGCAGGAGCAATCACAGTGTATCCTGACAGCTTTTGTTTAAAAAAGTTCATGGGAGGATGTAGTTTAATCCAAACTACTCAGAAGTCCAAACCAAACCCACTACTTTGTGCTTCCTTACATTTATACATGCCCCATGTTTACAAGCAGCATTAGCCTCCAAAAAATATCAAACAGAATTCTGGGCAAAGTTTTAATTAAAAACTGCCACCTAATTCCTCGGAAAGGCTGAACCCAAGGATTCATGAAATAACAGCTCCACCTACCTGGTTTTTTAGGCATCACCATGCGAGTTGCAAAGTCTGCTTGCCAGCCCTGCTCTAGCACACCTGGAAAAGCATTTTTACACTTGTAAGAACAGTCTTCTTATGTGATTGCTAGACATGCAAAACAAAGATGTACATTAAGGCCAGTAGAAAAGTATCTCTGGTCACTGCCTCTATGCCATAACTCCAATACAGATTTCTTACTACAATACTTATAGTTAGACATGCAGTTCAACAAATAACATTGTGAAAGCACATGGAATTAGCTTCATGTTTCACTCTTCCCTCACCATGGAATTGTTTCAACATCTAGAAGAGGAGAATAAACAATTCCAGTGGCAAATAATTTAAAAAAAATACAACCATTATCCAGAATAAGGACATTATTTCTATGCCCCATCACTTGTCTTTATAACAGTCTCTGAATCTGTATACATGATTTTATTAATCATCACTTAGAGCTCTCTGATCTCAATCACCCATGCAACAACTACTCAGGGAATAGATGCCAAGTACCTTTCACAGCTTCTTCTACGGGAAGTCCAACAAAAGCTGCAAAATCATCTGCAACTATTGATGTATAAGCCTGAGAAACCAGTGCAAAGGCTCGTTTCCTGGTGGCATCTAAGGACAGAGAAGCACTGTAAGCAGATGGAGGCTCATCTCCACAGGTAGGAAACCTGAGAACATTTTCCCAGCTCTGATGCCTTTGGAAAACCACTACCAGCCCCAAAGTGAGCACTTCAGAAGTTCCCCCTCCCCTCCCACACTTCACTGTCGTACTACGGTCAGCAGCCAGAGACAACAACTTGCTCTGCCAGGACAAAACCCCTCTGAGACCACAGTGACCTCCAAATGCAGGTCTTGGGCACTCCCACCAGTACACAAACCACTTCAGGAGACCCTGCATCTGATGGCATTCTCCACTTGCAATAGGCTTGTGTGTCAAACAGTTCAGAAGCAGAAAAGAAAATCTCTTACAACAATTAATTAAATTATTAATGGCATCTAAAAATCAGTTGTTTCTAAAGCTACAGAGAATTTGTTATTGCAGAATACCTCAGAAGGCTTCTTAGCAGTCTGTGCAGCCCTCTGGTAGCAAGAATTTGCATGTTACTGTTTCACAGTCTCTAAAACTGTCAAAACATTTGTCTCAAATCACAGGTAACAGATAAACCTTTCAGAAGGTTCTGAAATGCCAAGTCACATTCCCTAAATTACTGCTTAGAAGTCTGATAAAACTGGGTAACTAATGGTCAGTTTTGCTGTTACAGAACAAACCACATGGTTTATGAAATTCCAGTATGAAAGAATATACAATCACAGACACAACCCCAATAAAAACAATTTAGTTTGTTGCTACCAGGTATTGTCACGAGATTTTTATTTACATCTGATATCTAAAATCCTTTCGGGAAAACCTACAAAAATTTGGCAACAGTTCTGATTTTTCATAACTAGTCATTTGTCTATTTTGTCTCTGTGTTTGAGCACACAGGAATCATTTTGGGCAATTCCCTGCTGCCCACACAAGTCCATTTTGTACCTCTGAGTGCTTCCATGATTGGCTGGATGGTCTCGGACCACTGATGTGCACTGATGGTTGAATAGATTCCTGGGAAGTCTCTCTGCCAGATTCTTTGTCCCACTGACCAAACTGCACCAAGTTCAGCATTTGCCTGTTGTGACAAAAAAACCCTCCCAGGTGTTAATCCAGAAGAATGTCTTCTCTACAGTGGTCATAGCTATAAACCCATTTCCACTTCCAGGTTTTCACACAGTGTTGCTGTGCACCAAATACAGCAGGATTCTGAGTTAACTGTGGTCCAGATACCATTGACTCAGCTGATGTAACTACTTTTCTCTTTAAAGAAAATTATTCCAGAACTATCTCTCTGTCCCACCTTGACCGTGAGGTTTCTTAAACAAGGCTACAGAACAGTTGTTTTCTTGTAAAATGTGTGATTTCAAATTAAAAATCTAACAACAGAGGAGTATGGAAGCATTTCTGGTGCTATATTTAGCTGAATCCTCCAAACATATCTTTGATCCAGATTAAGTGGAAAACAAATGCTTTCAGAAAGTTTATCCAGCTGGAGATGCAACTTATCTGAAGTCACTCTGTCCTGCCCAAGGTTTTCTGTCCCCTCCTGTGGAATGTGCCCCATCCCAGAGTTGAATCCATTGCTTTTCCCCAGCTGACCACCCTTTATCAGGAGACTTCC